ATTCGAAATATTCCGTCTCACTTCTTTTAACACGCCCTGTATATACATATTATATTCATTTTATTTGCCTTTGATAGAGTAAAATCCAATATTATTACTGAACATAAAATACAGGAAATTAAATATTTTTACTTTTCAAACGATCGGAATTAAATATTAACGCCCCACTTTTTGAGGCCCACTGCATATTTTAATTACATATCGGCCGTCATAAATTAGTTATATTTCTGCTATCTGAAAAATGCTTGTGACTCAGCATTAGCAGGAAAAACTTTCAGCAACGCTTATACTAATAAAATATCAAATTTTATGATGGTGATATCAGATGTGAACATTCTAAACTAATACTGTATCACGGATACGATTGTAAAATAGATAAACTACATAATTTCAAATGATACTTCATAATTACGTCTACGTTTATGGCTCAATATAAATTTATCGGTAGATCTTTGTTTGAGGCGCCAACTATTACTAAAATTTGTCTTCATATATATGTGCTGTATTAAATTAAATTAATTATTATAATGAATCATTATTATAATAACTTTCATATATATATATATATATATATATATATATATATATATATATATATATATATATATATATATATATATATATATATATATAATAAATATTCAAACTTTTGTGAATGTTTCTCGAAGATTATAAGAAACGGATATGATTGTATCGAAAAAAAAAAAAGCGGAAGAACAAGTATCCGTCGATTAAATGCAGGAGACTACATGTTAGATGCTGTGAAAAATAATCCAAATGTAAGGACACAAACTGTGGCTAAAATGGTAGGGATGTCGAAAAAAGTTGTTCATAGAACATTTCGGTAACAACTTCTACATCTATACCACTATCAGGTTTCGGTAAAACTATACAGAATTATAAAGGCTGAATTTACTTGCTGTTTTGATATTGATTGTATTTGTATTTACACGCGGAAGAGGTGGGCGCGGCGCTTGTCGCGATCCGTAACCGTTACAAATATTTATATTTATCAATACTTTGATTTGATTTGATTAAGAAGAAAGATGAGGGATGGTAATGTTGATGAAGATGGTAAAAGAAAAAGAAAAGATGAGTAGACATTTAGCAGGAGCAGAAAAGTGAACCAAAAACCAGACAGTTCTAATCCATTAACGATTGAAACCAGCAACCAGAACGAAATGATGGAACTAATGAGACAATTAGCAAGCGATAATAAAAAGAAAAACAAGGACCTGGAAGATATAAAAAATACAATGAGTAATATGATTGATTAACTAAAAGAAATTAGGAAGAAAAATAGTGAATACAAATTGATAATAAAAAGAAAAACAAGGACCTGGAAGATATAAAAAATACAATGGGTAATATGATTGATTAACTAAAAGAAATTAGGAAGAAAAATGGTGAATACAAATTGCAAATGAAAGAAATAATAAGAGAAAATGAAAATCTAAAGAAAGAAATGGCTACAATGAAACAAAAAATAGATAAAATAGAAATAACCTTGGAAGCATGTCAGAAAGAAAAGAAGAAAAATAACCTAATAATAAGAGGCTTACCAATAGACACAATAGAAGTAGAGCAACTAGAGAACTTCATAGAAACAAAAATGGGAGTAAAATCAGAAATAAAGAGGGTCAAAAGATAAATGAAACAATGTGTGTTATCGAATGTAAAAAATTCGAAGATAAAATGAAAATACTGAAAGCCAAGGATAAACTAATGATCTATATAAGCAACGTAGAGTATATAGAATGTGACCTAACATCAAAAGAGTTAGAAATACAAAGAAACCTTAGGAAGATAGCAGCAGATGAAAAGACTAATGAGAAAAGGACAAAAATTGGATATGAAAGAGTTAGAAATACCAGGAAACCTTAGGAAGATAGCAGCAGATGAAAAGACTAATGAGAAAAGGACAAAAATTGGATATGGTGTCATAGTTATTGAAGGCATTAAGTGGAAATGGAATCAAAAAACAAGCCGGATAGAAAAAGTAAAATACAATACAGAACCAACTTGTTTAACAAAGTAGAAGAAAACACAATGACGGACCGAGAAACAAAACAAGCACAGAACAGGGACATGAGCAGATTTAAAGATAATAGCAAAACCGAAAGGAAAAATAAATTGAACTTAAACACAGAAAAGATCAAAACAATTTTGAAAATGGCATCATGGAATGTAAGAGGTATAAATGGGAAGGAAATAGAACTGGGGGAAGAAATTAGAGATAAGAACATTGAAATAGTAGCTATAACAGAGACAAAGAAAAAAGGAAGAGGATCAATAATATTAGAAAACGGAATGTTACTAATATCCAGTGGAGTGGAAGAAACAAAGAGAGCTCAGGCAGGAGTAGCGTGCATGATAAAGAAGGACAGAGCGAAACGTACATCTTGGTGGAACGATAATATGACACAGAATAATGACACAATAATAAACGACGATAAAACAATAATGAGAAGATGGAGGGAACATTTCCAGCTGATACTGAATGAGAAGGAAAGCCAAATCAAGAGAGTATCCATGAGAAACACGGAAAATACAGAAACTATAGAAAAAGAAGAACTTTAAGAAGCAATATGAAAGATAAAGATTGGAAAAGCACCAGGAAGCGATGAAGTAGCACCAGAAATGTTGAAATATATAGGAGTAAAAGCAAAAGAAAAATTGTTATACATGTATAACCTAATATGGAAGACAAAAGTAATACCCAGAGAATGGACAAATGCAGTAATTATACCTATATACAAGAAAGGAAACACAAGACTGTAAGAACTATAAGTATGTAAGAATTATAGAGGTATATCATTAGTATGTGTAGCAGCAAAAGTATACGAAACCATAATAGAAAGGAAAATCAGAAAAGAAATAGAACATAAATTAGAGGACGTACAAAGTGGATTCAGGAAAGTACACAACACACAAGACCATATATTCACCATGCAACAAGTAATAGAAAAAGCCTTAAAGAAAAATAGAGAAATATATCGGAGCTTTATAGACATGGAAAAAGCATTCGACTCAGAAGAAAAGATATAGGGAAAGCCTAAAGAAAAAGCAAGTAAGTGAAGAACTGACAGAAGTGACAAAGAGTATATACATGAAAACAACAAATACAGTAAGAATGTTAAATATACAGTCAGAACCATTTGAAACAACTCAAGGAGTTAGACAAGGGGGAAGTCTCAGCAAAGTGCTATTCATTAGAGGTGTGATTATTAGTTCTTTTAGACGAACTAGTTCAAGAGAACTATTTCACAAAATTGAACTAGTTCAGTGAACTAGTTCGCGAAAGAACTATTTGTAGGACCGAAATCGAAATCCAACCCTAACATAACTGGTTGCCAGATGTCTCGTCTCAATCATCACACAAGCTCGGCGCGGGCCGCCCGTTCTCTTCGGTTTTCAGTAAGTCTTTCACTACCGTACGGCGTACAAGTAGTTCGGATTCGAAACCATTTCTTTCGATCGTATGTTTAGCTTTAAATGTTTTAAATTATTATGATTAGTTAGTTTTTCTTTATAATAATTTATTTTCTTAACCAATCCCAAAAGATAAATAACAGACGAAATAGAAGATTTTTATGGAATCATTTCGAGAAAAACGATAAAAATAAGAAATCTGCAAAATGTAATTACTGTTCATGTGATACTAGTATTGTAAGTGATTCACTGGGCAATTTGTCAAGACATTTAAGAATGAAACATCCTGCTATCAATCTCAAATATTTCAATGTTGAAAAATATATAGAAAAAGGACCCGAAAAATCAGAAAATACATTTCAAGAACCTCAACCTTCAACGTCAAAATCAGTTTCGCTAGTAGGACAAGCAGGGGAAGATGATGAGAAAGCAGTTATAATTCTTAAGAAAAAGCTTGCTCCTACTCCCCTTGTTTCTATCAGGGACTATGTAATTGTACTTGACTGTAACTTATTTATGTGTTTTTGCTTTACTGTCCAGATTTCAAGTCCATATTGCAGTATCGAAAACACGTAGCATCTCAGTGCTCTTACTCTCAGTTCTAATCTAAGATCTTTATTGCAGAGAATTGTTTTCATTTTTACAAAAGCATTTCTTGCTATTTCTATCCTAGCATTTCGGTTGTTTGATCATTATTGTCTGAAATCCGGGTTCATTCCGGGAAATCCATTCACAAAATAATAAATATATGATCTCATTCATTCATTATTTTCTTCTTTAGAAATTGAGACACAATTTATAATGCAAATCGTTCGCAGTGAACTAGTTCTATGAAAATTAATGAACTAGTTCAATTAGTTCAGTTGAAAGAATCGTTCATTTGAACTATTTCGGTGGTGAACTACACATCCCTACTATTCATAAATGTAATAGATGAGATAGTGAAAGAATGTAAGAAAGCATTCAAGAAATACTGCATCGGTTGGAACAAAATGCAAATAATAAACGCTGAGATGTGTATATTTGCAGATGACATAGTATTAATTGAGGCAACAGCAGAAAAACTGAAATATAACTTAGAGAAATGGAACCTAGAAGCAAGCAAATAAAACTTAAATGTAAACAAAGAGAAGACTCAGATAATGAAAATATCTAGGAAACAAGGGACGGAAGATCAAATAGAAGTAATGGTAGACCAACAAAAAATAATACAGACAATTTCATACAAATACTTAGGAACAGTAGGGAAAAACAGAAAAGGAAGACCCATTAAAGAATGGAACAGTGACATCTCACAGATACTGCAGAGTAAGGGTAAGACTTGGCAGGAAGCAACACAGATGGCATCCAATAGGAAGGAATGGAGAAAGTTCGTTAAGGGCTAGGACACCTGAGAAAATTATAAAATATTGTAATTTAAGGAATTGTATTATAAACGGCCCAACACCGAAAGGTACAAATGGGTCTACTGATTAAGTAAGTAAGTAGGTATAAAAACAACGTTGTATAAAACACTCTATAAATAATATTACACTGAAAATTAACTAATTTAACACATCTGTACATACCTTTAGACATTGTTTCTGCAACTCTGCAAAGTTCACTCCAAGTAAGTGTATGAGCCTTAAGAAAATCACACAGAGATCCTCTTTCGTGGTAGGCAGTGATCAACCAAAATTCCGTTTGCAAGTTGTCGCCGTGTTTCTCGACTCCTATAAATTGTAGAATGTTTGGATGATCCATGTGAGGTAATTTAAATATATCTTGTTCGGTCAACCATGATTGCTTGTCCTAAAATATACCAAATTATTCAAACTGGAGATTAATTTCTTTAAATCATGAAGTGTTGCTTGTGTGAGTCCATTTCAAATAGGTAAAAGAAATAATAAATAAGACTTACTTACAATCAGTTTAATTATACTATAAATAAACTGATTGTGAGTAAGTCTTAATTATTATTTCTTTTACCTAATTTCTTTAAATTTAGAGAGAATTTTACCTGAATGGGAAATATCTTGACAGCAACTTCCTCTCCCTTAAACTGCGCTTTCCAGACTGCACCAAAACGTCCCCTAGCTTTGATCTCGATCAGCTTGATTGGTCTGTTATCCAAAATTGGTGTAGAAGGTGGTAAAGGATGAGGCTCAGACGTCGGTAACTTTAAATATTGTAAAACATTAGCAAATATATTCAAATTTAATAACAGGCATGCAAGTTTGCTGTACTATAATTAGTTATTTCTTAAATATCGCGTGTTGTTTGAACTATATTACATGCAAATTAACTTATAGTATGTCACTTTGGTTTCATCAGTTTACAAAAAGGATGGAAAGCGACTTCTACGGTACAAAAAAAAACAAATATGGAGATTCATAAGAAACCATCGGAAAGAAATGGCAGAATTGAATGAATACAATAACATACCAGCAAACGAATGGGAAAGATACTTGACGGAACTGTTTAAAGGAAAGGAAAATAATAATCAACACAATAATGTAAATGAATTAAGACACGAAATAGAAATAAGTTTTCAGGAATTAGAGATAGCCATAAATTCACTCAAAATAAAACACGGAGGAGAAGGAGAAAGTATAACCCTAGAGAGGACAAAACATAGAAAAACTAATATTGCACTGCAAGATACCAGACACCAGACGTATGGAGAAACAGTAAAATGATGCCAATGTTCGAGAAAGGAGATAGAGAAGACCCCAACAATTATAGAGGTATAAATCTAATGAACACCGCACTTAAACTTACCACAAAAGTCCTAACCAACAAAATCAATAAACTAACAACTTTATCAGATGAACAAGGATTCAGATCCGGAAGATCCTGTGTAGACGTATTTGTATTAAGACAAATCACAGAAAAGGCCATGGAGTACAATAAACCAACATATCTATGTTTTAAAGACCTGAGAAAGGCTTTGGATCACTTCCAAGTCGAAGACGTGTTACACCTACTGTATAAAAGAAACATGGCTCAGACGGACGTCGCTGATTATGGAGAAGACCCGGAGAAAGATATGCTGTGGCTTGTATTGATGAGCGACTCCCATTTGGCGTTGGTTCGGTTATGGTCTAGACATGAATAACTTCACAATCACGCACAGAGTTAGTCTTCATATAAAAAGGCTCCCGTACGGCTCACAGATACATTACAGAAGTTTTAAATGATCATGTTATGCCTTTCATGACTATTATGGGCGAACATGCCATTTTCATGCAAGATAATGCTAGATCCCATACTGCCAGAGCTCTTAGAGAATATTGTGATGAAGTGGGAATTAGGCGGTTTGATTGGCCACCACTCAGTCCAGACATAAATCCTATCGAAAATTGGTCCGAAGGCATACGCTCATGTGCTACGAGAGTTAGTATTGCAAAAATAGGATAACAGAACCAGAATGTGATCAGTAAGTTAATTGGGACCAGAATATGATCAGTTAATTGAAAGTACGCCTCGTCGCCTAAAAGCTGTCATTAAGGCAAGAGGGGGAAATAAACTGCAAACTGAAATGGAGATGGGCTGGCGGATGAAATATGGATACACAAGTTAACCGAATGGAGACCAAGAGCAGAATGAAGCAGAGAAAGACCACCTACACGATGGCAAGATGATCTGCGAAAGATGACGAAAAATTGAAACCATACTGCACAAGACTGGACGCTCTGGATACAAACAGTGGAGATCTATGTTCTGCAGTGGACAGGCTGACGATAATGATGACCTTGAGAAAACATACGATACGAGTTCCTCGAGAGCTTAATAAGAAAGGAGTCGCGTGTGAATATGTGAAGATTTTGAGTAAATAAGTAACAACTAGTGTTAGGACAGGTGTGGGAGAGACTGATAAATTTCATGTGAAAATAGGACAGCATCAGGTCTCAGTTCTTATTTCTTATTTATTCTCATTATTGTTAGATCCAATAACAGGTAAACTACATCCAAATATTATCTGTTAAAATTTATAACAAAAACAATGCATTTGGAACGATCATTTAAACGTTATTATTACAAAATAAGATAATAGGTTTGGATGGTGAAATGATTGTGAAAAGCAATAGTTTTAAGCATTTAGGATTGGTATAAAAAAATTGTGGAAATATTGAGAATGGCCTTTCCAAATTGTAACCTAAAAATTTTTTGTGCATCCATGATTTGAATGGTTTCCACATAACATTTTTACGAATTGAAAGCAACATTTGATGCCTATTCGTTGTTCGTATTCTCCGTCATTCTCAGCGATAAGAAAATAGGACAAACCAACATTGTAAACAAAAGCTCACTATTACAAAAGGCCCTTCCTGTTAGTACGTGCGGTGTAGGACCATAAACAGTAATTTCTTGAACGCACACTGCTACCCTACAGGGAGTCCTAGAACGTTTTAGCGCGCAAGTTGGATACTTTTGGAAAAGAGCTCGTATTACATGAATTATTAAGGTAAACCGGGGGAAGTGTGATTGTGGGCAAGTGTGACTATACTATATAAAATTGTCTACAATTTAGGGTGCCAGCGACATCTTGTGAGCAGAAACTTAAGTTCTTGAAACAGCGATCTATGGCGTATAGTAGTACGATACGCGAAGTTAACTTGTTGATGGTAATGTAAAGACTATGTTTACAAATTTTGTGAGAAGCGACTATTAGGTGGTAAGTAAATATTTTATGATATGCAGGACTATTTAACAACTATATTACGTTGTATGTATTAAAATCAATCGGTTTTAAAACGTCTTGCGACGTTGTCCGATGCCTAATTTCCATGACACTCTATCATCCCATTGGTCCTCTCTAAGATCTCTTGCGCTCATCGCCTTCGTTACTCCCTCTCTCCTAGATTTCTTGGGTCTTCCTCTCTTTCTGCGGTTTGGTAGTACCCATTGCTTAATTATTTTTGGGAGTCTTGAGTTATCCATCCTCTGGACGTGTCCGTACCATATCAGCTGTTTTCTTTCTATGTCTGTTGTTAGAGAGCCGTCAATCCCCATTCGCTGTCTTATCTCATCATTACGTATTCTCTCTCTGCGTGATCTTCTAAAAGTGAGCATTTCCACTGCCTCCAGTTTTCTTCTGTTGTTTGCGGTTATTCGTCAGGTTTCTGTTCCGTACAGAGTTAATAAGAGATTCGTAGATATTGTGTTTTCTTCTTTTTCCTATTTCATGACTTCACAGTACGCTGTTTAGACAACCTATTGTTTTTCTGGATTGTGCTATTCTTCTCTTTATTTCTTCATCATCTTTCCCCGTTGTGTCAAAAACGATTCCTATGTATGTATAATGGTCGCAGGGCATCACGATTTCGTTATTTTCTAATATGATGTTCGATAGTTCGGTACCTATTGGCAGGTATTTTGTTTTTTCTGTATTAATTTCTAGTCCCCACTTTCTATATTCTTCTTGTAATTTCCTTGCCATGTACTCCAGATCATATTTATCGTTTGCTTTAACATCCTGGTCATCAGCAAACTAGGATGTATACAAGCAAATCTCTGCAAGGTCTACGCCTATGCCTCTGCAGTTTCGTTTCCACTTTTTCAATGCTTTTGCAACATATATTTTGAACAAGGTCGGTGATACACAACACTCCTGGCGTAGACCTTTATTAACCAGGAAGCTTTGCGATAGTCTGTTTCCAGTTTTTATTTGTGAAGTTGACCCTTCATACAAATTTCTTAAGGCTTTTCTCTTCTACGAGTGCTTCTATTTCTTTGTTCCACCATAGTTTTTCACTCTGTATTTGAGTGTTAGAACCAAGTGCTTCTTCTGCAGCTTTTTTAACGCCAACGACTACGTTTTTATATACCTCCTCTACTGTTGATGTTTCGGTTATATTCATTAGTTTGCCATCCAGTCTTTGTTGATATAGTATTCTGTACTCTCTTGGGTCAAACTATCCAAATTATAACTTATTTTTTCCAAAGTTTCTTCTTGTTGGGGTTGATAATTTGTTTGATTATGTGTTATAATGAACAGGTTACTTTTGATTTTACGACATAATGATCTGAACCACATGTTATTCCTCTGTATGCTCTTGTGTCCTGTATTTGCATATTAGTATTTTGTTTTATGATGACATAGTCTATATTATTGATTTTAGATTTCTTGTAGTTTGGGTCCATGTATATTAAAAAAAAATACCAATTTTAATTTTTAACTGAATTATGACTTGGGTCACACTTACCTCGTTTATATTGTCTACTGGGGTAAATGTGACAACGTGTACTGGGGCAACTGTGAACTTGCAAAACTATCTTTTAGTTGTTAATTTTAGATTGAGCATGGTAAGAAACTATAAACGGAAATTATTCATTATTCTACCATGTGACTGATGCTCAAAGAGTTAAAAGCAAATCGCAAGGGAGGGATCCAGCGATTCCACTCACAAGTGAGACTAGATTGGTCCAAGAACTAAAAACTATGGAGCAGTGGGGATTTCGAATATCCAGATTGGAACTACTAGAGATTGTTCGCGAATTTGTTACCAAAAATGGCATAAAACTCCATTTAAAGATAACATATGGGGATGAGTGGTTCGGGAGTTTTAAAAGACGTCACCAACTTGGCATAAAAAACCCCAAGCTGTGGAGTATTCAAGGAAAAAATGACAGATCCTTTCATCATCCAAGAATATTTTGATATTCTCAAAAAAAAATTAGTTCAGCTAAAATTAGACGACAAGCCGCAACTCGTGTGGAATATGGACGAAACATCCATTTCTCACGACTTCAAAAAAACCAAAGTCGTATGAGCTGAAGGTAAACCAAGTTCCAGAACTACTTCCGGTGCAGGAAGAGAAAACACCACGGTTCTTTCAGCAGTGTCTGCATCAGGGACGAAGGTACCACCACTAATCGTATTCAAGGGAAAAACTATTTGGTATTCCTGGCTACCAGATAACAAGAACTCATTTCCGGGAACGACTTATGCAGCCAGTCGAATGGATAGATGGAGAGTGACGTGTTTTTTAATAATTAAAAAAAACGTTTATTCCCGCATTAGGAGGAAATAGGCCGGTACTGTTGATGTAATATATCAATAGTACCGGCCTATTTCCTCATATTATGACGGTCATAGTACCCATAATAGTATTGAACTAGTTGAATTAGCACGACAGAATGACATCACAATCATCAAATTTCTTCCTCGTACCA